TTGATCAGGATTTTAAAGTAGAATTTTGGGTCAGCATGTTCGATGGTGGTGGCTGGGTGCCATCCGTTCTTCTTGTGGCCACGTTCTTCTTGTGGCCAGGGACACAGCTTGTCCACGGAGGTAACGAGCCACACGTGCACCTCTTCCTGCTGACTCTGCTCCCGCCTGTTGCCCCAGGGGCACAGACCCAATTGTTATCACTTGCATGGCCACTTGCAAGTTTTCAAAACCATTTTTTCGTGCCTTAGGGGAAATTTTACATAGCAAATTAGTTTTCCAAACAGTAGTTCAGTCCAACTTGTTCTGTGACTCTGGCTCCCGTCCCAGGAATCCTGCCCGGGCCGGCACTCCCTCCCTCCCTGCCTGGCTTCTCCATTCCCATCCACCATTTCCCTGTCCTCTCGTCTTCTCATCTTTGATCTTGGACAAGTGTGGTCCTGGTGGTCTCACAGTTCACGGTTCTCTAGAACGTTCTTCATGGATGTTCTTTGGCTGAAAGGTAGCCAGGCGTGACCTCATGTCAGGTTAGGTTTTCTCCTGGCAAGAGTCCTGGGGGTTCCTCTAGCTTCTTGCATCTGTGGTTGGCAGATTTTTTTTTTTCATTTTGTTTTTTCCTTGACTTTGAAATTTGCTCTACAATTTTCTTTTTAAACCTGCTCTAACCAAGGCCTTCCTGGTCAGAGCAGTCCAGGGTGGCAGCAGGGCACCATCTAGCTATTCTGATCTCAGCTTAGAGGAGGCTGTGGTTCCCGTGGGCCATTCGTCCTTTGGACTGATTGCTTCCTTGAGTCTTCATTGTCCTTTAGTTTTCCTTTGCTCCCGTGGGAAGAGACCACAGTCTTTGATGACTACCAAGGCGTGGGGAGGGGAAGGTAGGAGGAGAAAGCACTAACAAAATAGTAGACAAATTTTATTGTGTTGAAAAGAAAGGCAAGAGACAATAAGGAAGAAATCAGCACAACGTGACTAAGGTGCAAATGGCGCTGAGGTGTGCAAGACAACTGCAGTAAACACAGTGACATCTGAGCGGCGTTAGTAACACCCATGAAAAAACTCCGTTATCTTTTCATTTCAGATACCCTTCATATATCTCTAGAACAGCAGTAACAATGGACAATAGTTTCGAGTGGATTCATATATGCTAAATGGGTGAGGGGGACCCCATCGCAGTACACCCAGAGACCCGCATGTAGATATGGTGGTATTTGCACATGAGTATTTGCAAATGCTAGCCATGGACTCACATATATAATGACACAATAAGGTACACAAGCTATAGGGACTGAACCACAGACCTGAAGGCCAAGGACCATACTCTCAGGGATCAGCTAGGTCAACTGACAGAACGCAGTTCAGTAGTGGTCTACATCCTAGTATGGTAAGAACTGTCTGGGGTCCTAAGAGCTTGTAAGCGGCCATCTAAAGAGCAATGATTGGTCATGTGCAAGCTTCTGAAACCGGAGGAAGTACACCCACGATGAGCTGGGAGGTTTAGCAAAGCTATACTGTCCGGGCCACGCTGAAACCACGACCCCAAGCCAAGGAACCAAGTGCCACAGGGACGTAAGGCTGTACATAAGTCGCCTCAGTGGTGTTTTTTCAAATCACTGTTTATCTAGGACACAACTCGTGCCAACGTTACCCTGGGTAGCACACCTGATGAAGCGGTCTGAGCCCACCCGGAGGTGACACAAGGTGATGTACCACCAGGTACTGGTGATGTACCATGGCCACGAACAACAGCGTGGTGAGTCTATGCCCATCTGCTTGAGGTTGCACGGTGGGCACACCACGATGGGCAGCTAGCTGGCCCTGGCTTATGCCTGCTGGAGAACAAGCTGCCAGGCACCCGTACTTTTCACAAATCCCTCAGGCGATTCAGAACTTACAGAGAACACCGACAACTTTGTGAGGATA